TTTTTCACAAACGAAGTGGTCTGAAAAATATTTATTTGCATTTCAATGATAGCCTTTGTTTTTAGGCCAGAAGGGGCATAATAGACCTTTGACATCTTTATGATTCCTTTTGTTGTGTAAAGCCCTCTTGCTTTCCCATGCTGGTGATAGATGGACCTCTGCGTTAACCTCTCCAAGCCACTTCAGTCAGGCATTTAGATGAATCTTATTGTCCTGTGCTTTTATCTTTTAGTCTAATAAGTGCTGCACTTTGGGGTATTTGCAAATCAGGCTCCATCTGATAATTGATGAAGATTTAATTTTTTTTTCAATTTAAGCTTTTAAAAGGTATCCATGCCCAAAGCAAGAGAACTGAGTGCATGAGGCAATGTGAGAAGTTTACAAAGCGCAGATACAAGTCAAATGGGACACATGGACTGATGCAATCTTCTTGGCCTTAGAAAAATCAACCCCAATCATGTTGAGGGTATATTTGAGTTGTCTTACTTTCCCTGGGAATGGAATTATACGTTCCCAAATTAATTCCCATGCCAATGATTTGCTCCTCTCAATATTTATGTTCAGTTTTTAGTCTTCCATTTGTCTTAATCCTTCTTGAAAGCTATAAACTACTGGAGTCCCTGCAAAATAAATAAGTAAACAAATAAATTTGTAAAGAAAGAAAACTGCCCACCTTCTTGGGCTGTGTAAGGTCCTCTTCAGTATCCAATAAGCAGGAGTCAGGTGTCAAGACATCTGAAATAACTGGTGGTGGTTCTCTCACCACCATTTCTCACCACAATTGCTTCATTTTTGTTTGTTTTTTCCCTCCCTCTTTATTTTTCTGCTTTTGGTTTTCCTCATCTTTTTCCAATTTTCTGTTTCTCAGATTGGATTTAAAAAATCAATTGCACAAGTACAGAATAGTGATGAACTTAAAATGGAAAATGATAGCAACATTTTTGTGTATGGCTAATGTAGGCATTTGTTTTACTTAACTATGCATATTTGTTATGAGAGTTTTATTTTTTTTTATTTTTATTAATTGAAGTAGGTGAGTAGGAGGCAAAGAAAATACTTGTTAATTTAAAATTTTAATTTAATTAAAAAAAAGTACTGGATAGGAAAAACAATCTAAATAATTTAGAGATCCTCAAACAATATTACCAAACAGAATGGCAGCTTCCAAAAGAGCAAATTTAGTCTGAAGCTATGGTAAGGTAGACAGAGTGTCCAGAAAGTGAAAGGTAATATTCTCACTATTTTCGTCATTACTCCAATCACATCTTCAGTATTATGTTCAGTTTTGGATGCCATATTTCAGAAAGGATATTGTTAATTTGGGGCAGCCAAGTAGCATAGTGGACAGAGGGCTCAAGACCTACGCTCAGGAAGACCTGAGTTCAAATGCGGCCTGAGACAGCTTTGTGACTCTGAGCAAATTTGCTTCAGTTTCCTCAACTGTAAAATTAGCTGGAGAAGGAAATGGCAAATCACTCTGCTATCTTTGCCAAGAAAACACCAGGGGTCACAAAAAGGCTGACACAACTGAAATGACTGAACAACAACAATACCATTGCTAATTTGGAGACCAGAAAAGAGTGCCCTGAGAGGTGAAGGCCTTTAAGATGAAGTCAGGCCCTAGGACAATCAATTGAAGGGGCTTGGGATATTTAGCATAGAGAAGAGAAGATTTGAAAGGGAGAAAAGTAGCTGTCTTTAAGTATTTGAATGGCAGTGGAAGGATTAGGGCATCATTAGGAACAATGGATAGAGACTGCAAAGAGGCAGTTTAGGCCTGATGTGATGAAAAACTGGCTGACGACTGATTTATTTTCTTTTTAAAATTTTTTTATTCATTTTTTATTCATTTTAAACTTCAATACAAAACAAGAAAAGAAAAAAAAAGAACATTGGTTTATTTTAAAACAGACAAAAAACTACCCCCACCCCAAAACTCCTTCAGGTCTGCACTTGACAATATCTACCTATCTACTACTTATAAACAATGAACAGAGTGATTTTTATGTGCTAAGACTGAGGCCCTATGTTTTTTTTTTCTTTTCTTTCAATGGGGAATATGAGACTGAGCTAGGAAACAGGATCAGAGTTTGTGGTCTAAAGGTAAACAAAGTGAGGTTGGTGGAAACAGCTTGCTAATTGTTCACTGTTCAGTGGCTGTACATACAGTCTTAGTTTCTGAATGAAATTTGAAAGGAAAATAAATTTGGAAAGCAAAAATAAGTCCATCCTTAACCAAATTAAGCTATCCATTATGTGTGTATTTGTAACACACACACACACACACAAACACACACATATATCCAAGCCAATCTGAAGAGTTGATCAACAAAAACAAGAGGAATTTCATCTAGGGATTCATTGTAATACTGTAGAAAGAACACTAGACTGGGAGTTAGATGACCTGGGTTCTGATATTTTCTTTGTCATTAAGCATTATCATCACTGTATGTAATTTGTTCAACCCTAAGCAAATAACTTACCATCCCTGGCCTTAGTTACTCATCTTTAAAATTAGGGCATTCGATTAGATAATACTGAAGGCCCTTCTCAACTCCAAATTCCTACAATTCTCCTCTCCCCCCTTCCCTTCTTTTATAGCCCTACTTTTATATGTAAGGATCACCAGGGACTACTTAGTCCACCAGATGATACTGAAATAAGAAAAAAACGTTTCCTGGCTCTTTCAAGAATTACATGGCCTTTCACTTCTCTATGAGTGGCCTTCTCTTCCTTTCTTCAGGGCAATCCAGTAAACACTGGTGACACATCTGCTGCATGTAAGACAGTGGTGCTCAGCACAGAGACAAAACATGTCTCCATCTATCCCTGCCCTCAAGGAACTTAAACTGCTACAATCATACTCTTGACTTTGGCTTTGTTTTCAAATGGTTTTTGGATTTCATTTGGATTTGGATTTCGTAAGTGAAAATTTGTTTGAGTGACTTGTGGTAACCATTTTCTTGTAGGTTAGCTTGCCACTCTATGGCCTGGTCCTTTTATCAAGGACATAAGTTTTATTCTCTCTGAAACTGAAGTGGTAAACCAACTCCTTATCCAACCTTTAGAGGCACTGTCAGTCAGTTAATAGCTATTGATTGATTGAGATCTTATTTGTGCTAAGCATTGTGTTAGACACTATAAGGGATAAGGTGAGGGACACAGAAATAGTCTCTGCCCTCAAGGAGTGTACAAGATATTGAATTTATTAGTTACCTTGAAAAAATTATTTTCAAGTTCATTAAGTATGCCATAACATTTAATTTTAGCACTTTGCTGTACATGTAAAAGGCTCAAGCCCTATTCTTATTCTTGTGCCATAAAACACTGATATCTTGTGATTGAATAACTTGAAACCCAGCCAGCATTTTCCAACCAATACTTAATATTTTTAACAATGGGCTTTAAATTGAGTAGAACATATACAGTGTAATAAACTTACTTCATAATGAAATTTGGTTTTAGAAAATCAAAGCATTTTTTAAAAATATGCAGTTTAACTAGAGGCCAATTTTGTGTTTTATCTTTGTATCCTTAACACTAAGAACAGTTCCTTCCACCTAATAATCAATCAACAAATGTTTATTGAATTCAATTTAATCTATCATTTAGAAAATGCAAAATTCTGTTCTGTTTTGGGTTTGGATTATATTATACAATGATAAGGAAATATGCTATTGTGAAAAGAATGCTGAATTTGGAATAAGAGGGTGCTGGATTAGACTCCTAGCTCTGGTATTTATTATCCATATCACCTTGGGCAAGTCAATTCACCTACGTAGGCCTCAGTTTCCTAAACGCAAAACAAAAGAGTTAAACTAGATGGCTTCTGAGGTCTAGCTCTAAATCTTTCATCTTTTCACTTCACAGTTTAAAAATTGTTTTTTCTACCAGAATCTGAAGAGTCAGGTAGTTTAAGTCAGGTCTGTACAACCTAAAGCCCGCCAAAGGATTTCGGGCGGCTTGCAAAAAATGTAGTGGATCCTCTACATTTTTTGTGGGCCACCCGAAAACCTTGTGGGTGGTGCGGGCCTGGTATAAGTAGTATTATCTGTAAGGGGAAACTGAGACTTGGGAGGATAAGCCCATAGTCACACAGCCAGTAAGGATCAGAGCCAGATCTCAATTCCAGAGTCACACAGCTAGTAAGGATCAGAGCCAGATCTCAATTCCAGGTCTCCTAACTCCAAATTCTATGTTCTTTCTTTCTGTATCAAGCTAATTGTTCCTCCTCTCCCCACCTCCATTTACTTCTTGATTATATTTTATTCAGGTTAACATTAAAATTGTTTTTTATGTCCAAAACAGAAGTGTATCAGTTGCAGATGAGGAGACAACCCAATAATGAATGGCATTGATTTTTAAAATCTCCTATGTAGATGATATTAGCACAAAGAACAGGAGTCTCAAAATGTGCCAGTGTTCTGAACACAAAACAATGACTAGGAAACACCTGGTCTTATTGTTGCTCTGTTTTGGTAAAGAATAATAATCTTTTTAACTCCTGCTTTTGTGTGTGTGTGTGTAGTTGTACTTTACCCAAATGAAATAACATGATGTGGTTGTCCCTTGAAAAGGATAATCCTTTGCCTGTGAAAAGCCAGGAAAGATGCCAGGGAGCTTTCACAAAAAGTCATCAGTTATGTGATTATTCATAGGAAAATTAGGCACTTTATGGAGGGCCAGTGGTGAATTTTTAACCCTTTGCTGACTAAAATCTCTGGTAGAAGAGATTTATTTTTAAAAATGTTTCCAAGATATATCATAGTTTTAGTAGACCTTCAGCTCCATTTTCTGTACTTCACCTAAAATACTGAACAATAACAATTAATGTTTATAATGAAGAATCACTGAGTCCTGTAATGCAGATTGGGTTATTAAAGATATTAAATCATGCTTTTGATGTCAAAATTCATTTTCACAAATTCCTAAGAGCTTTGGTTAGCTAGCATGCATCTATATACCTGAACCTTAGAAAATGTCTTGTTTTTCTCTTACAGGATTTGGGAAGAAGGGAAAGTGCTCATCTTTGATGACTCCTTTGAACATGAAGTTTGGCAGGATGCAGCCTCCCTGCGCCTAATCTTCATTGTGGATGTGTGGCACCCGGAGCTGACCCCTCAGCAGAGGCGAAGTCTGCCTGCAATTTAACACATATTGGAGGCTCAGAACATAAAAGAGGGAGGCTTTTAATGTCTGTTCTGTCTGCGTGGCTGTGTAGACAGAACCATAAATGCTGAAGCTCCTAATGCTTCTGCTTGAATTGCAACCTCAAAAATGCTAGCCTGCTCAGGTTTAGAAGATGCTGAAGGAATGGTTTGTCTACTCCAGCTCATTTAGAAATTGTTCTTCTCTGTTCCATGCTGCTGTGATGCCGCCATTAAAGTGAAAACGTGAAACCTTCTTACCAGCCAAAGATTTTGCCCCTAGAGTAGGTTTGTCTGTGTGCATTGATAGGAAATATAGATAATGTGAATGGATGGTTATTGTTTTGTAATTTTTAAATGTAATTGTATTTTTCTATTAAGCCAGCCCTAGAGCATTTATTTTTATGAACCACTACATTCTTTTCTTTCTTTCCTTTTTTTTTTTTTTTTTTACAAGCTGTATAATGGCTTCACTTCCAGCTGTTTAGTATTGTTATCTTTGGGGTATTCTTTATCAAGATGAGTTTTCCTCTCCTTTTGTAATTCCTTTTAATATAAAGAAACTGGTATGAGAGAGAAAATGTTATTTTCCTACTGTGATGGACAGGAAAAAGTAGAAAACAATAGCTCTGTCTAAAAAAAAAAACATGAAAATAACCTCCCTTTTTATCAGTTTATTTTTTCTTTTACCTGGAGGCCTGGTTTCTGACTAGTACGCTCTTTGTGTTGATAGTAGAGACAAACTGAGTAGATTGTTTATTTCACTGAAGAAAAGTTTTGTTATTGAAAAACCGTGTGTAGTAATTTGAAGTTGATCCATATAAATGCCACATATAGCTCTCATATGTGACAAGAATTAGACTTTGGGGTTTTTTTGTTTTCTAAGAAAAATTTTTTTCATACTAAAATTTTCTGTCTTCTAAGATTAGGCATATGAGGGAAATGGATCCAGGCCCTGTGGGTCTTGATACCTTTAGCAATCAGGGTCCAAGCCCTCCCTTATCTTTACACAGTATTAATCCATATAGAGGATAAGTGAATGCTCCATTGATACTTCACAGGATTCCTGCTGTATTTTTCACGTATCAGTTTTTGATAGTGTTATTCAGGATGACATAATGGAAAGGGTAATTACTGCAAATGGGAAAATGCTAGGATCTTTGTCGCATGGTGGGATATCATAAGAAATCTTTTCTTCTTTAAAACAGTTGGAAACACTTTTCCTGATTTCTTGCCTTAGAACAGAATTGCTACATAAAATGAAAAAGAATGCCTTAAAATAAGCATCAGGTTTGCATGGATGAATTTTTAATAACACATATTACAAAGAAATAACATTTTAAAAGAATAATTTCCATAGAGAATCAAATCACTAGGTAAAGTTTTAATGAAATAAAACATTTTAATTTTTTCTAAAACCAAGTAAGAGTGAAATGCACCCTTTGAAAGGTGTGCAACATAATTTCTCTATTAAGAATGTGATGATGATCACGCACTGAATATCATTTCATGGGCCACGATTAACAAAAATGTTTATTAAATGCCATATTCATGGCATTTTTTTTAATAAACTTGAGTGCCTGGAGTCCTGGTAGAAAGCTAGAACACATAGCCTTTTCATTCCAGGAACGATCGAGGCAACTTCTGACTCGTCTTCTTTAGCTGTCTTCCAATATTGAAACTACTCGTATTTCTTCTATCTCAAGAGCACAGGTTCTACTGGAGGGGCACTGGGGAGTTTTTATCCCTTTTCCTTGAAAGGAGCCTCAACTAGAATGCACAGGTTGACAATACTGTATGAGGAACTTACATAGTGGTTCCTGTGTAGTTGCTTCCATTTCTAAACCAGGTATTTTGTGACTTTTTTTGTTTGTTGGTTTGTTTTTTTGGTGGAGGGGAGGTGTGGAATAGAAGTCATTATGGGTGTGGAATAGAAAATCAAGAGAAACAGTATCTCCAAAATAATGACCAATATCAAGAAAAAAACAAGAAGAAAAAAGTCGTTTTTGTCCTTCAATATTTATTTAACAAGGGGAAGTGACTCAACAGAGAAGGACGGTACAATCCAATGCTTGTGTAATAGTAACTAACATTCATGTCAATTCTTGTTGAATTTGGTTCCTGTTTGTAAATCTATTGCATACATGTACAGAAAATTCAAATGAGAAAATGTACATGGGAACATTCATCTTACATTCATGTCATGAGATTTGGAGAAAAACAGATTTACAAGCTAACTCATGTTAACTTAGGTTACTGTGGTAGGTAGAGTGTTTTAAATCAGGTCACTAAATCAGGACATTGAGACTGCCAACTTAATAGGCAGGTGTCTTTTCACTGTTTTAAAACATAGCACTAATTGGCTTCAATGACATTTTAAAAACTTGGATCCAACAATTGTCACATATATAAACCCAAGCAATTAAAATGGCTCCCTGATTTGCTTTTATTTCTTTTTCATCTCTCTATATAATTATATAAAAAAAGTCATTGGGTCACAGTACAGATGAAGATATTTCAGCATGTGATTAGGAGTGGCTGCCCAAAAGTAACTGGTTTTATTTACATACCTCTGTGTTGGCAGAGTGGCTATATTTTTATTTCATATCCTACTTTATCATTTTTTTTGCAAAAATAAAAATAATAACCAACATTTATATAGTGCTTTGTAAAGTTTCCAAAGCACTTCACACACATTATTTCATTTGAGCCTCACAACAACCCTGCGAGGTAGGTACTGCAGGTGTTACTAGCCCCATTTTACACATGAGGAAACTGAGGCTCAGAAAGGTAAGTTGACTTGCCCAAGGTCACACAGCTATTAATTGTCAGAGGTGGTGGGATCTGAACCCAGTTTTGAGGCTTTTACAAGATTGGGCCAGAATGCATAAACAGTGTCCATTTCTGTTATCCTGTACCAGTAGCAATAGCTGGTATGCTACAAATGCACACATTAATACTTTTTGATGATTTTTTTCCAGTGAAGAAGGAAAATAGTAAATGTTAATTCCATTTGGAAATGGAATTTTGAATTATGTCTTCCCCATGATTTGCTCAGCTTAAAATGTTAGCCCTCCTAAATGTTTCCATTTAAAATATCACTGTACCACCCATCATTAGCTGAAATACCTTCTGTTTGACACATGATGCCAAGTAATGGTACAAATAAATAGATGAATGTCTTTGTGGAGCAGGTGGCTGAAGAGAAAAAGATGCCTAAAATTGTAAAATTGATTTAGCGAAGCAAACGCATGGCACAAAATCATTTCTTACAGGTTTTCTTTTATTTTATCTCCATATCCATTTCAGTGAATGGATAGGATTGATTTTTCAAAAACAAATAAAGCAGTGAGCTGATCTTTGGCATTTCAGTCCTGCATTTCTATTCTGCTCCTTTTGTTTAGAGTACATGCCCATTTAGTCATTCATTCATCTGAGGAAGTATTCCTCCTCAGTTGAATGTCTGCTTTTTCTAGCAACCACCAGAACCACCCTCTGTCTGCAACCTTTAACTGATGGCAGGAGTGAAGGGGGTTAAATGGTTCCATAGCATTTTCCTTAGCTGTCATGATCTAAATGAAACAATGTGAATAGTTCCGTCAATCACTAAAAAAAAATGCTTCCAATGAGATTCCCCTTTATACAGATACAGACCAAGCTAATAGACTCTAGAACTGCCTATGGAAAATCATGTCATAAAAATGAAGAAAAACTGTTTCTCCAAATTGTGTGTCTTCTGCCCTCATGATGTAAAATGGTTTTAGAGAAGATACAAAATTTCAGAAAAGTGTTAGCCAAATATCAAAATAAATAAACTGTAACTAGCCAGAGTTATATGAACATGTTCTCAGGATGAACTATTCAATGCTGGTGGTGAGGTTAAAGAAAAAAAAATCAATGAGAATGAAAATTATTGCAGATGCTTTTGTTTCATGGCTTTGCACTATACTAAATCTGAAAATTGTATCTTTACAGTTTAATTTGGACATATGTTGTTTGAAAAAAACACTCACTTTTTCCCAATATGATATATGAGGAGAAATGTCCAAAATGTAGTTTATGTATGTGAGCAAGGAATTAATAAGTCCAACCCTTTTTGATCCTTTTAATACCATAAATGTAAAATAAAAATTGAAAAAAAAATTGTTCCTGGTTTAAATTAATGTCTTGCTTCATCCTTGTGTCCTTCACTGAAAAAGAAATCCCTCCAGTCTTTGTTTAACTTTGGCTGCTCAGACAGATGGCTGGTGACGATCGTTATTGTCAACAGAAGTGGAGGACCTTTTGTCAAGCAAGATGTGTGCCTGTGGGGATCAGTTAAGCATGTGCTTCATAGGTGACAGGTGCCACTGAAGGCTGGTAAGATGTATTTTGGTGACTTAGAATTCAGTCCAGAGCCAGGAGTGGTTGGGTGTTCTCATTCTCTCCCTTTTCCTCGTGTTTCAATGTCCCAGCTTCCACAACAGACTGAGACCTGTAAAGGTTTAAGGGAAGGTTGGGGAGGAGGGAAAAAAGGAAAAAAAATTGCTTGTTAATTGTTTACGAACAAAAAATTGCTTACTACTGACAAGTGGGAACAATTATGCAGCTTTTCTGGGCAATCATATATTAGCTGTCATTTGCTCTACATAATATGGTTTTTTTTTGTTTGTTTTGGTCTGGACTTGTGATTTGATCCATTTGGAGAATTTGCTGATGTGGAAACTCCCTTGATTAGCAACTGTCTGTAATTTATAGTATGTGAGAGTGGCTTGGGGCACTGGAAGTGGCTTACTTGCTATGGTTACAGTCAGTAAGTGTCACAGACAAGTTGTGAACCCAGATTTCCCAGATCCCAGGGCCATCCCTCTATCTACCAAAGCAGGCTTTATCTCATAGAGTCTACAGCCTAATCAAACACACACTAATCATTTCATTATCTAGCATGGCAATAACCAGAGATTCTCTTAAGACTGTCCAGTTTTTCGTGTAAGCCTGATGATGAATTGTGTCTCTGAGGCCTGGAACTTAAGTTCGTACAGGATAATCACCCACTGATTGGCCACCAAGGAATTTTTTTTTTTCATTAACATCACAACTAATGAAGCAGAGTAGAAAATGCTGCACTGGGAAGCTTCAAGTATGGAGTCTAGGCACTAGTTTAGACAGAGAGCTCAATCTCTCTAACCCTCAGTGTCTTTGCTTGAAAAACAAATGGTGGTCTTGACAGTTGCTAAGGGCCCTTCTTAGACATCACTGTAACTGCCATTTATTAAGCACCTACTATGGGCTGCTCACTGTGCTAAGCGTTTTACAAATCTGAGCTCATTTTATCCTCACAACCACCCTTTGAGATAGGTGTTATTATTCCCATATTACAGTTGAGAAAACCGATACAAATAGAGTTTAAGTGACTTACCAAGATCACACAGCTAGTAAGTATTCTGAGTTCCAAATTGAACTGAGTTTTTCCTAACTCCAGGTCCAGTGCTCTATCTACTGTACCACTTAGTTGCATCTAAAATTCATTAACTCAGCATTTTGAGTTGCACAGATTTAAGCATTAAAATTTTTAAAAAATATTTTCAATAGCTAGGCAGACCATTTTATTCTCCAGATAATAATTTCTAACTTCTGGTTTATCTTCTCTCGGAGTAATGTTCATTTCCTCCTCAGTGTTCCTAATAAAGATTTGAGTGGAAATTATTTTTCAGCTTTAAATGCTACATACCAAAACCTCGTCCACCATAAGCACTGAACAAGTGCTTACCAACTAAAAATAGTTCCTTCAAGTCTTCAAGGAAATGGTAGCTTTGGAATGACTCAAGTGGGCAAAATTCACAATTTAAAATTATGCTCATAAGTAGCCTCGGATTCTGCTGAAATGAAACCCCAATCCATTTCAAAGAGTCAGTGTGGACTCTCCCTAAAGCTACATACCAATCAAGATGGCCCCACTGTAAGCTTTAAAAATAAAGTGGACTTATTAGTGAGTACAATAATAATAGCCCATGTTTGTATAGTCCTTTGAAGTTTACAAAGTACTTACAGCAAACCCCCTCCTCTCCAACACTTGTCTCCGATATACATACACCAGAGGTGGTACCAGTATTATTCCTATATTACAGATGAGAAAACTAAGGTTTACAAAGAGACCAAGTGCCTTGCTCAAAGTGTTATGGCTAGTGAATAGCAGCATACCTCCACACTATATTATGCACCAGAGGGGGCCAGATTTTTTTTTCTCTTGGTCACATATAGATTTAGGATCATCAGATTTAGACTTGGAAGAGGCCATCCAATCCAAGCTCATTTTACAGATGGGAAAACATGAGGTCCAGAGAGGACCTGAGTTCCTATCAGTCTTTGCCACTTACTCTCAATGTGACTGGCCTGTGTTTCCTCATCTACAAAATGGAAGTATGGGATTAGATGACTTAGAAGATCCTTTCAGTTCTAAATCTATGCTCCCTATGATCCTAAGAAAGTTTTCTCAAGTTCATAGAGGTCAGACAATAAGTGACAGAATCAGGTTTGGAACCCAGGTCCTCTGACTTAAAATCCAGGGGTCTTCTGAAGTTAGCATGCTACCATCTGTGTTTAATTATGTTTCCCAGTTGGAGTAGGAAGGAGGGAGGCATGGAGTGAAGTAGATAAGGTAGAACAGAAAGATTAAAAACTGAAAACTATTTCCAACAAATAACATTTGTTGACACTTCATGGCAAACCTTTATCAAATGAAACAAATTAATAGTCCCCCTCCCTTGACATTTTTGAACAACATGCATAACTAGATTAACTTACCATCACCCTTAGTTTCTACAACATAAATAATTACCAAAATAGAGGGATTCCACTACTCAATATTTCCAGAGAAATTAAAATGTACTTCCTCTGTTTTCATGGAGAATTTGCATCTGTTCATGACATGGCAAATGATGGAACACTGAAGAGATGCTTACATTATTCCCACAGCTTTCCCTGCTATTCATTTGGCAATCACTGCAGGAAATCTCCGAGCTCTCAAATGGTGCAAGTCCAAATAAAATACAGACTGGCACTATTGGCAGACCAAATTGATTTGCAGTGGAAGATTCTAAAGCAATAACCTGAAACAACCTAGCATTATGTACAAGGTATCCTAGTGATGAATAGACAGCATGTCTCTATAATGGCTTTACAAAAACCATCTCAAGATTACAACTAATCTTTATTAAGTGCCTACTGTGTGCACAGCTGTTGTTAGCCCTTCCTTCTTGGAAGAGGACCATGACATCAGGGAGGTGATTCCATGACATGCAAGTGAATTGAATTTAAAAGAAGAAGGGCTGTGCAAAATCACCAGCCTCATTTTCTCCTTTGGAGTCATCTGGATTCAGTGGTGAGATATACTTGAGGATGACTGGGGATTGTCCTGGATGCAGTGGGAGACCTTGGCCTTTTTAAGCTAAGGTCTTTCTTTAACAGGTCTCAGTTTGACTAAGGCAACACCCTTCCAGTGATTAAGGGTAGGTAAGAAATGAGGCAAAGAATGGCCTCTTTGCCTCTTAGAAAGAAAGAAAGAAAGAAAGAAAAAGAAAGAAAGGAAGGAAGGAAGGAAGGAAGGAAGGAAGAAAGAATGAGAAACAAAGAAAGAAAAGAAAAGAAATAATTCTAGGAGGGGAAGACCTCAGGGTTTCTGGCCAAAACAGAAACAATTGCTATTTACATTCACTTTGAGCCAATCAGGCCCAAATAATGACCAAAGTGGGGCTTGGCCTGGGACCTATTGTTGGCCAATCAATGAGAGCTAAAATGATTTGGGTTTAAGGTGTGATTCTTAAGAAAAAAAATGTTTTAGAGATCAAAATTTACATTCCTTTGGGCAGAGTACCTTGGACCCAGAAAAGAAAAGGAAAGGAAAGAACTGTGTTACCCAACATAGTTCCAGCTGGGTCCCCAGTGGGGCAACTCCTCTTTCTATTCATAGAGGTTGTTGTTTGTCCTTCACTCTCAAAGAGGACCATGATATGAGGGAAGTAATTCCATGATATGCAAGTGAATTGGATTTAAGTGAAGAAGGGCTGTACAAAGTCACCAACCTCACTTTGTCCTTTGGAACCATCTCAGTCCAGTGGTGAGATATAGATCAGATAGTCCTGAATGCAGTGGGAGGCCTTGGCCTTTTTAAGCTAAGGTCTTTATCAAGTCTTACTACTATGGACTGAAGTTATGAAAACAAAAATGAAACATTCCCTTACATTCTACTGAGGCTTGAGACACTTGAGAAAAGCTGATAAACACATCAGTATGAGTCATTCAACCAGTCACAGATAAAAAGAGGGGATTGGATTTGAAAACCCCTAAGGTCCCTTCTAGCCCCAAATCTATCACCCTATGATCCTGAGTATGCACTCATACAGGGACAGAGAAAAAAATCTGGGTCAAAAGGGCTGAGAAAAGAAGAAATAAGCAGATATTAACCATTTGCTATGTGCCAGGCACCATGCTAAAATCTTTACAAATATTATCTCACTTAATCCTCATTAACCCTGGGAGGTAGGTGTTCTTTCTATCCCTATTTTATAGTTAAGGAAGCAGGCAAACAGGATAAGAAACTTGCCCAGGGTTACACAGCTGGAGTGTCTGAGGCAAGATTTAAACTCCTGACTCCAGGCACAGTGCTTCTTGCATTGTGCTACCTAGTTTCTCCTAAGGAGAGATACCTCATAGAAGAAAAGGAGAACAAGAATCTACACATTTTTACCTGGCTATTATCTTTTTCAAACAGTCATTATGGACAACACGGTCTCTCCTCCTCATGTAACTGATGGGGATCCATGTCTTTTGGATCTGGACCCCAAAAATGAAAAGCCCTAGACCTTCCCACATGGCCAAATCTCTGGCATTTGCCTGAGGCTATAATTTTATCAACTGGCCTTTCATCATTGCCTAAGCCCAATCTCCCAATTCTCTGTTCCCCTTAACCTAGCCTAACCCTCCATTGTCTTAGGGCCCTATGGCCACCTGGTCACTTCCCACCCATCTAGGTTCCATTCTTCCTTGGCCAAGTGGTCCAGGTCCTGGCAGCTCTGTTACCTCCAGTCACCCCAGACTACTTGGCCACTCCTAGATCCCTCCCACAGTCTTTCTGTATATAAAGTCCATCTGACCTCCATTAAGGTGCTCAGATTCTTAAGATCTGGCCTGCTTGCCTTAGCCATACAAATGCCTAGATTCCTTAACGGTCTGGCCAATATGGCGGATTCTTTAAATCTCACCCACCCCAAATCAATGTTCTAATAAACCTTGTCTTTGGCTGAAAGAAGGCTTGGGTCGAATTCATTTGGGCAGGACCCACGTGTTGTGATTTTGGGGTCCCAGCACCCCTAAGCCTCTAATCTCAACATAACCATGACATTCACTGTGTCATCAACAGAGAAAGGGAAATTGAAGCAAGGAGTGATCTGTGGAGTTGTTCTGCTGGTGCTGCAGGTAGGGAATCCAATAAAGGAA